ATCGAGTAATCAAGTCAATTTACGTAAAGTCTTGGATATTTTCTACTTTTAGAAATCTGTTGTGTTCACCATTTTAGTGATGAAAACTCAGCCAGCAACAGCAAATTGCTTCAACAGATGTGACAGTTGTTAGTCCTGTCTGTATCTGAATGCTGATCATCATTGTGTGAACTCCTAAAAAGCCACAGGTCCTCCTTGATCACTCAGAGCATCAAATGAGAGTGTGCTATCTTTGATATTATTGAGTTTCTATGTTCCACTGACGTTTTAAATCATGTCTTAAACACGTTACAAAAATGCCTTCACTGTGCGGACTTTTAATGTTTATTTTTAATATTCACTACTTTGTCTGGTGTTTTCATTTTATGATGTCTCCCTGCTTTTCATCATTAATCCCCTTTAGTTTAGTACTCAATTTAAAGCTAAAGACATGACTGAAGATTTGAATTATTCAGTGTATAATATTGAATTATAGTTGTTTGGTCTATTTTCCTATGGGACATGAATAAAAAAGCCTATTTCAAAGAAAAGCATACAAATTTTGGTCTCATGACCAGACTCCTGTGACCATGCTTGAACATTCTACTTTATGGACTCTAAGAAGCATCACAAGAAGTCTGTACCTGAGGCGTGAGCAGAGTTGTGCATGTGCTGTCTTTGTAATTCTTCTCTCTGCCAATTTAAAAGATCAGCACTGATTGTTTTCCAAAGTTGACATTTTAGTTTATTGTCTTTTCCGAAGGAGTATTGGTATCAATTCATTGGAGGGTCTTCCCTTGAGGCACATGAATTAACTCCCAATGATAGGTGTTACCAAGGACTTGCTTTCACTTTTTATTTTTTTTAGCATTTCAGTTCAGCATTGAGATGCTCATAAATTTGGACACAGATGACCCCAGCATGTTGTCCACAGATAACCATATGTATATCCTACTGCACTGTTTAAGATGTGGTGATAAATTAGAAACAAAATAGAAAACTTAGAATCCAACATATCAATGCAGATGTTCCAGTTCAGCACACTTTAACATCCCAATAACATCTTGGTTTCTGATCTGTAAAGTCCTTAGAAAACAGCTAATGTCTTTTTGCAGTATTTCTAGAATCATGTGAGAATATTGAAGATATTGGATAAATACTGGATATTTATCCAGTATAATAAATAATAAATATTGGATAAATTACATAGGAGGAGAAAAATATATTCTCCAAAAAAAATACATGTGCCTTTTATCTCTTTTCATAGATGATCACTGGAAATAATTCTGAAATTAACATTAACATATTTTGTAATATTTTAAAATTAAGTGTTACATTTCTCCTTAAGTTGTTTGTTCTTATGACAACATGATATTTGACACATCAGGGTCACTTGACATTCATAGGTCAGTAAATATTTGTCTATGGTTGCCAGTGTTTAATAAACTATGAAAATGGCTTATTTTATTAACATCATCATCATCTGAAAGACTGTGAAATGATTATTTACCTAGCAACAAATCAAACTCTACACAAAGAATACAAGACATCACCAGGAATCTAAATATCTAAAAAAATAAATAAAATAAAAATAAGTAAATAAATAAATAAATGTATACTTCAGAGGGTGATAACATAACTTAAATCTGTATGTCTAACATGACTGAGTAATGATGGTGAGAGCTAACATTTATGCCTTAAAAAGGGGATGAAATAAGGTTTACGATCTTGGATATGCACATTTGGTTTTATTTTATATTCCAAAGATTGGGAATTGAGGTCCTGCAATTCAGTAATGGTTTTAGTTCTGACTGGGATCTTACTAAATAGAACATATCCTCTGCTCACTTCTTCCTGGCCAAGGAAGCGCCTTGCCTCTTCAGCCGTTCCATCCTCTGGTCCACTTGGTAAACCGTAGCCTGAGGTCAAATCAGTGCTTTATATCCCCTTTGATGTCCTGAACTCATCAGACATGTGAGGCTGAGAACATGAACCCCATAGAGACCATAGGACCTATGCTGGCTGCCTGGTGGATCAATAAAAAAGGGAGAGATAAAACACCAGTAAAGGAATGGAGAGCGAAACAGGAGGATGCAGAGATGAAGGAGTTCAGAGAAAGACAAGAACAAGGAAGGGCTGCTGCAAGAGGTGGTGGGAGGGAGGGGTGGGATTACACATGGGTTCATAGAAGCATTAAAGACTTTTTATATGACCCAAGTGTCCAATTTTATCATATTCTGCCCGACAGTAACATTTTTAATCAATCCTGTTTTCTTAAGAAAGTAACATGTCATAATCTCGAAAATAATAATATGTCAATTTGTAAGATACAGTGGTAAATGCATACTGAGTAAAGAAGCCAAACATATATTTTTATGATATTAGGAATCCGTCACTATAATTTCCCTCAATCTGCTTCATATAAAAACATAAGGTAATAATATTACAGCTTAGCATTAAAAAAATGCTTACTACATGCCAGAGGCACCCTTTAGACCTATGTATGCAGATGTTGAGTTCTTCCAGGAACTCTATGTCATTGATGTCATAGTGCAGACTGGGCAACTGAGGACAAGGGAGATGAAGTCACTTACTAAAGCCATATTCCACTTTCATGGAAATGTCTTTCCAGTGGCTGTCACTTGTTTTCAATGGCATTTATTATTCTTTCATTTTTCTTTCTTGGTCACTCTCAACTTGCTCTTTCCCTAAACTTGAGAAAGTGCTTCTGATGGCAACATTGGCCAGAGACCCAGGAGATGTCACAGGAGAGGCACTGGCCTAGGAGAAGTCACAGGAGAGGCACAACCGCCACCTTTGTTAATGGCACAAAGCTAACTTTTGAACTGTCTTTTAAACTATTTTTCCTTTACTTAAAATTACCAGATTTTTTCCAGAAATATATGCCAGACTCATGATGTCAAATAATAAGGAAGAGAAGTGCTAAGAGCTCGGTGTTAGCTGAGGAAATGGTGATCAGAGCTGAAGTTACAGTCAGCCTGCCCTGATTGAGCCCAAAACTAATTTAGTAACTTTCCAGCTTTAGTGCATTTCTTAATTTCCTGGGGCCTCAGTTACCTCACCCATAATTCTTACCTCTTAGAGTTGTTCACAGGATATATGCAAAACAACAAACATATCTGTCTATTGCAAAGCAGCTTTATATAATGAATTGCCCTTTAAATTTTATAGTCTTTTCTATTTAATTTATGTAATGGGAAAAAATCCCTAGCATTTTGAGTATTAGGATTTAGAAAAGGATCACTGAATACCAAGGGTCAAGCAAAGAGCAAGTGATGAATTTGGGAAAATGAAAGAAGATCTAGGATTAAGTTCTGATTTTAGGACCTACCACTGAAGAGACGGGGTGGGGGGAGGGAGGAGGAGAAGAAAGAAGAAAGGACAAAGGGCCAGAGAGAAAAGAAGACGGGAGAGAGGGGGAAAGGAGGAAGTGGGGGAAGAATGGAGGAAGAAAGGGAATTAAAGAGAGACTATGAAGGATTTTATGAGGTTTCTTTGCTTTATCTAGAATTCTGTAAGTTCACTTCAACCATTCGTCCTGACAGGAAACCATGTCTGTATTTTACTAACAAATTCTTAAAGTCAGCAACAAACTAAAAACCTCGATGCTTATGAAGTCATTTAATAGAAAAGATATTAAAACATAGAAGCAAGGGGTAAGAATAGCACAAGAAGAGCTGCTAATATAACGATTATGAACCACTTTTCTAGAACATCTGTCTATCTGGAGAATTAGCGAATGACTCAACAATACCAATCACATTACACACTAGCATGCAGTTACCTACAACACATAATGTGGGATGCTCTCCAAATGCCTGAGTAGTCATCAAAAATTTCAGAATCTTAGAATACTTCATGGGTTTATTTTATGTGGTTGATTAACTTGCGTTGGATAGTCATTATATTGGAAATTAAAATCCCCCATTTACTAACTCAGAACTGTCAATACAAAGGCACATACCTTATTAGAATTCAGATAAAATGATACCAGGCTGTGACATCCTGGAATCTTCTCTTGTGCTCGAGTCTTCCCTTTAGAAAGCAATGAAATTAGTCAAGGGTCATTCTGCCTCCAACTGCTAATGCTTCCAAAAAGCCTTTCCATCTGAAACGCGTTTTGAGAGCTGTGCTTTGAGGTTCATGCGAAGACTTTTTGAAAACGTCTAAGTTGCCAACTGAAAAAAGGGAATACTCATCTATGTAAAATTTTATACAGAATATGAGGAGTTTTTTTTTAAGCAGTCATTTTCTTTTTTGCGAAAACAGTGTCGGTTTGGAGAGAGAGAGAGAGAGAGAGAGAGAGAGAGAGAGAGAGAGTGTTAAATGTATTATACAGTTAAACAGAATCTGAGATTTTCTCACAATTCGAGTGGTTATAAGTGATTAATCAAAGAGGGCTTCATGAGAGGATTTAGTCAGTATATTCAGATCCCCATCATTCACGTAAAAAGATAAGCCTGTGCTTGCAGTCCTAGCATGCCCAGACAGTCTGGCCAACCAAAGTGCTTCAGTTAAAGCAGGAGATCCTGTCTTAAAAACAAAGTTGAGAGCAATTAACGAAATTACTCAACATTGACTTGCTCCCCCACATCAACAAACATACAAGATCAATACAGCCACATGTGTACATGCACACACACAAACATATATACACATATCCGAAAGGCTACACTAGTTGTATTTATGAAACTAGAAATTGATATTCTACTATAGGAGCTGCAGATGTAGCTAAGCAGTAAAGTACTTGCCTAACATGCACACGTTCATGGGTTTGATGTCCAGCACCAATAAAAACATTAAATTTATTTTTAGCCATTAATATTATGGGTTTGGTTACTTAAATAACTTCAGATGTAAGTTGTGTGGACACACTCAAGCCTGAACTGATGTAATAAAGATTCAGTGTTACTTCCTTACATACACAAATTTTCCACAAATGAAAATTTGAGTTTAAGAGTACACATCTGAAGGACCTGACAGCTGGGATCTTCTTTCAGCCTCCACAGATGACAGTGCAGCTGAGAAGAAAGGAGGAACCCTCCATGCCGGCCTCATCGTTGGAATTCTTATCCTGGTCCTCATTATAGCAGCGGCTGTTCTGGTGACAGTTTATATGTATCACCACCCAACATCAGCAGCTAGCATCTTCTTCATTGAGGTGAGTGCCAAATCCAGCCATGAAAGCCATGCTGGTGGATGGACTGTATGAAATAGCAAACACCACCTGGATTTAATGTTTGACACGTGATTTGTCAGTGTCAGGCCGGTTGATGTCACACACATCACACCCACTCATGTCCACATTGATAGATTACTTTCAGATGATGAGGTCAGACCTCTTATCTCTGAAGCTCTTAAACCAACAAGCCATCTTCCCCTTAGAGACCTAAGGGAAAATAAAAACCATACTTTCGGGTCCTCTTATACCAAATATGTTAACCAGCTGTTCTCCTGTGCTAGGAGGAAATCCAGCCTATCCTGGAGACAGAAGGACTTGACAAAATTGATAAATAAATAATCATTGAAAATTGGCTGTGTATATAATACAATAAAGTAGGTCTGTTCTCAAAATGCTCATAAAGTATACAGAAAATACAACTTTCACCACAAAATGACAGATATAAAAATGAGATACAATGTGATACTGCCATTGTGTATAACATGGATGTATTTATTCATTTCTGCATAAGTGCATACCCATATATCCACAGTAAGACTGATTTGATGCTGTTCTGTCCTATACAGACCTTAGGTTTAGCTCCAATGCCAAAAGAAACATGGAGTATGTACAGGAGCCGTGGCCAAACACGAGGGTCTAGAAGGCTGGATCAGAGGAGCCTCAAAACCTCTAGATACAGTCAGCAAAACCAATTTTTCTTTTTAGCCCAGAAGGGTTTCCTATGTCCCTCACAATTGCAACTTTCATGGTAGGATTTTATAGAAGCATTCCTCTTCTAACAGCAGACAGTGCTGAAATGCTAGGATGCCAAAGGGAATCTGCCCTTGCAGATTTTCAGACACGTGAGCGTTGAATTTGAATTCACTGCACAATATATGGCAAAACAGTTTGGAATCTTGTCCACTTGTTGAGTGAGAAATGATAATGCTTTAACAACAACAGGATGAAAATTACCATCGGCACCTCTAATAAGAATGGCTGAGTGTAGATCAATTAGATAATTGTGTCAAAGACCTAAATGGCTCTCTTTTATCTATAGAATAAAGTATGGTCTCCTTATGTGACTATTCAGTATATTTGCAATCCATATTTCATCCATTATTTCCATCTCTCTGCCCTGGCTCTCCAGCTTGGAATGGGAATTACCATTGTATTTTACTGTTATCTTCTCCAGATATACCCTGAATGCCCCAAAACCTACCCCTGCAAAAAAGTGTTCATTCTATTTCTTCCATCAAAAGAGCTGTCTCCTTCCACCTTAGTTCTTGAATTCAGGTGTTCAGCAGCCTTCAATGACATGCACCATGTAAGCTTTCTACATACATCTCCCTGACAGAACATGTGGACTTGATTTTTCTTTTACCCACATCTTCCTTTGACATTTATCTTTCTGTTTTGTGTTAGTGCTCAATCTGTGTGTGATTATTCTGCCTTACAAGACTCATAAATTTCTTGAAATCTAAGTTAAGTAACCCAAGTCTCTTTCAAAGAACAGGCATGTTATCAGTATTTCCTGGAAAAAATACAAAAGACATTGTAAATATCTATTGACATTTCAAACTTAGAGTAAAATTTCATTTAAGGCAGACTCCAGACATGGCATCCTCATTTCACCTCGTAGTTATTGGGCATGCATCAGGGCTTGTATTTAGTTGGAAAGCAGTTAAGTTGTTTTAACGTGTCTGATTTTCCTAGAAAAATGTGGGCCTCTTACCCGGGGTTATGAATACATTCCTTAAAGAGCTGACAAGAGACAAGTTGCAAGTCTCAGTTGACCAGCCAGGCGTCAGGCTGCCACTGCCTGAAGCCAACACATGTTTGAATCTTTTAGTACACTGCAGTTTATTTTCTGACATTGTGAAAAAAGAGGATGCTGTGAAATAATGGATGCTAAGGGTATTAGCAACATGTTGTAGGGTGTCACCGTGATGAACGTGGTTAAAGCTAATTCATGGCAACACCTGTATGCTGGCAAAATGGGACTATAAAACCCAGGATAAGACTTTTTTTTAGTCTCCTGGATTAATAACTGGAGTCTATAATCCTGATTGTGTATACATTGTTCTGTAGTCACGTGTTTGTGGAGTACTAGGGCTATGGAGAATATTGTGGTCAATTTAATCCTTTACACTCATATCTAACAGGGAAAGAATGAGGCTTATGAGGGTGGAAGGACTTTTCCAAGAACAAACAGCCGTAGTTCAGGAACAACTCATTTTTCCACTTCCATAAAATGGAAGACGAATCAGTCTGCAAGCTCCATGCCTATTCTAATCTCTGTTGGTTTCATTTTTTGTTGAGTTGATTGCCAGAATCTGCTAAAATTGTTTTCGCCAAATCACCTGCTGTTCTGTTCATGTACTTCATGGGAGCTGATCAGTGGATGTTTGTAACTGGACCGTTATTAAAGCTAACCACTGTTTTTTTTAAACCAAGCCACAGACACATGATGACCATACAACTTGAAACATGCAGGCCTATGATTCTGAAAATGTTTAATGGTTCATTAGATTAGTATTTGGGTACCTGTGGTTGAATATAGTGGTATTGCTTATATTAGGTTTCATATTTCATAGTAGATTACTGTTTCTTTATTAAAATGCTGATGTGCTTTGTCATCATGAAAGTGATACTAATTATAGAAAATTAGAACAGTGGAAAGGCAAAACAGAAAGCCATTTATAGTAGTAGGATACAGAAATAATACCATTAATACTGTAATCAACCTTCTGGAAATCTGTAATGTAACTTAATATTTAACCAATAAATGACAGTATAGCTTTACTGCAATGTAAATTGATACTCTGGCTTAATGCCATCTATTTTATTATCAACTCTTTGGAAGGGCTATCAACTATTCCATTTCAAAGCCATTCAGTAGCTGTATATTGATTGAGTTATGCACACAAGAAGTAATTCAGAAAGCAGAAGAGCCTAATAAAGACCTAGAAATCAAAATCAGAAAAATCTTTGTCTCACCATTTAAGATGCCATGTTAGTTCCCTACAGATGCTGAAACTAATGACCACAAACCTAAAGCAGCACACAGTGCAAGAAGTCAGAAGTTTGAATTCAGCCTCACTAAGTCAAGGTATTGGCAGGGCTAGGTCCTCCTAATTTCTCCAGGGAGAATCTTTCCCTAGCTGCTTTTAACTTCTAGAGGTTGTCTGTGTTTCTTGGTTCCTGGCCTCCCTTTCTACCATTCCATGGTCTGTTTCAACCATCACAGGTAACTCTGACCCTGTTGCCTCCTTGGTGTTTCCATTTGACTCACTTGACTAAGTAATAACAACCTCTTCATCCCATGACCTACAATGTGCCTTGGGACATAGCACTGATGGGTTTTCCACTTCACGTGAACATCTCTAGGGACCATTAGTCCATCAAATACAGATTTCATTAAATAAATTGCACATTATCAATTAAACTATAGCACATTGTTGTCAGTGATTCTAGCAAAACAGACTAATTTTTAGTAATTTATTCAAAGTTCAATGATGTCAAAAGTGTCACTCAACATATTCTGCTGTATGTTTTATAGTGAAATCTCAACGTCAATAAATAATTTTTTTCCTGAATGACACAAACTAAATGTAGTGACTGCCTGCCTACCTGTACCAAAACTCATACAACTAATTTCCCGCTTTAAGACATCTCTCCCCAAACCCACTCTTCTCATCTCTTCCTCTTATAATTAGCCCTTTTGTGAGCATACATGATGAAGGAAGAGTTTTTCTCCCCTCTTTCCTCATTTAACTCCCAATGAAGGGATATGGCTTAGGATGATATTCATTTCAGACCTAAGGAAGCTGAGGCATGAACCTTGAATGATTGACTCAGCATCTCTCATTCACTCTGTGATACAGTCAGAATTTGAGCACAGATGCTCCAACTTCAGAAGTCAAACCTTTAACCGCTGGACAGTGCTGCTTACTGCTCCTCTCTGCTAAGGGTTGTCTGCCTTGGCTGTAAGGAAAAGTGTAGTGTAAAGTGTAGCTGAAGACATACACTATGCTCTTATAATAGATTCCTCAAAGTAGGATCATCAAAAAGAATTAAACAGTTTAAATAATTAATAAATCATGCCAAAACCATTGCCCAAATATGTGTACCCATTCATGTAGTTACTATTTTCCATTTTGAGTAATGATAACAAGGACATAGGCCATTATCTGTATATTTTGTTCTTGCAGAAAATATGTACCAGCTTTTACACATTTTGTAGGCATAGACATGTGTCCTCATATAATGTTTACATGGGATCAGCTTTTAAACGTCTTGTGTGTAGGCAGGAAATGAGGTGATAAAGCAAACCATCACTCTGTAAACTGTTCAGACAGGTGAATCCATGGTTTACATCTTTGTCTTCACACACAGGAGCCCCAGCCTCCTATCCCATCCTTCTCTTTAGCCTGGCACATAGTCTCATTCTCACTAACTTATCACCTGTACTTCTCCATCATCCTCTGCAGATTTAGGGCTGAGCATTTTCTTTGAGATTTTTGCTGACCAGCTTGTCGTTTTGGTATCTGTCTGACTTTATTGTTATTTTCTAAAAGATACCTGATTTGATCAAAATCTGTCATATCTACATGTGCTTTAAAATGTTTTTAATACAGTATATTGTTTTTAAACAAAGTGATTCACATGAAAATGTATTTTAAAATTTTTCACAAATTTTGATAAAACTGGTACCTCTTTGGGTTAGTCAGTATGCCCAAGTTTTCTTTTTAAATTTAACAATTGCTAAATATTTCTAGGCATGAATTCTGTGATTTGTGATAATTTTCACTAAAGATAAAGAATAGAAAACTCAAAGTTTATAAGAAAAATGCATAAAATTAAATCTAGGCTTGGACAAAGAAAACATCATTATATAAGTAAAATCATGCAAAATAGATATTTCTTACATTTGGGGTGAGTGGATCTGGGCCCTCACACATGCCAGGCAACAATTCTACCACTGAGGTACATCCTCA